CCCTTGACAAAGCAGTAGTGATTACTGCATTGGAGTCTTCTGCAGACTAGGCCTTCCTTTCTTCTTTAATGTTGTGGACACTTAAAAAGCTCCGTTAGATTTTTGCCTTGATCTTTTTTCTAGTGTTACACCCTAAGCTAATGGTACTGTAGTATACATAAAGAATTTCCATTTTTTTAAGTCTAATAATCTGTAGTTAAAATTACTTTGGATAATATTGTTAACAGCTGGGTTTGAGTTAATACAAGATCAGATTCTTGAGCGTATAATTTGATATAAAACTATTTCATTATCATAATCACTGGGATTTAAATTGGAATTATAAACCAGCACTGTCTCTGGAGTTAAGTTCTGTGAGCTGGAGAAAATGAGGGTGACTTCCACTCTGGTATGTAACTTCCATATTTTATTCTGTATATACAGATTAACTAATAGTCATACTAATAGCCCTGTTCTGACTTTAAACTGCAGTAGTTCTGTTTATTAATAGGAGTTATTACTAGCTTTCACTGGCATGAGATCACAATTAGGCTTCCTATCTTAATTTGTCTCAGTATATTATTTGGCAGCATATCACTGTGGACATCACAAACTGAATTAATTCTCTAGGGAGGAATATTTTGTTTCAGTAAATCAAGCTCATAGCTGAATCTGTACACACAATAGAAGCTGCAGATATGCATCAAGGACAGAATTTGGGTCCATCATCAGCCACAATTGTGTATTTAATATTCCAGGAGTAAATCCAGATTAGAGTGATTGCTGTTTCTCTAGTTGATGGTAGTGACCTGGCACAAAGCCTCAAATTGCAGTGATAAGTTTTCAAAAAGGCTGTTAATGGAATTATTGCCTGTGTGAGACTTCTTGCTGAAGGGCTTGCAAGAGGGCAGTGTTTTTTAATAAATTAGATAAGAAATAGTAGTTAAAATAATAAATAATAATAAATGTATTTTTTCAGAGTCACTTTTCTGTGAAGAAAGGAGCTGCGGCCTTGGGTATTGGTACAGATAGTGTGATTTTGATTAGATGTGATGAAAGGTAAGTAAAGGTGTGGAATACAGCTCTTTTCGTTGGTACATAGAAGAGGATCATCAGGTGCTCAGCTCAGAAAGAGCAGTCAGCAGTTGGTATAATTTGTCATAGCACTGTCATCTTCAGCAGCCTTATACCAGCTTAGCCCACTTGAGGAACTGGCTCTGTCAGTAGCTTCTTTATGAGTCAGTTTTGGGAATTCATCAAAAATCTCAAAATGTTTCCTTCCTGAAGGGTTTCTGATACTTCTTTTCCTTTCATCCTGGAGTGAAAGAGAGTATCAAACCACCATCATTCTTTACATGTTATGCTAAGAAACCAGGAGGAAGCTTGTCTTCATCAAAATGGAGTATTTAGATACATTCTGATCCATTAAAATGAGCTGAAGTTGGCCTTTTATGGAAGTAAAATATTTAGGAGCATTTGCTAATGTAATTGGATTATTTCATGCCCCCATCATCTTTCTCAGCTGTAGTACATTTCCCTCCCTGCCCTTGATGGGGATACCCTAGTGATGGGGTGTGAAGAGAAGGATCTTGGCAGCACTGTGGGTAGCATAGGCCAAGGAGGATAATGGTCTGTGGAAAGGAGTAGCACAACAGGCAACTGATCTGCAGGTCACATAGGCTCCAAAAACTAGTGGTAGATAACTTCTTGCTTAACTCATCCAACAAAAAGGTTTCTATTCTCTATGAAAACCCATTCTGAGAAAGCAGAAGTATATTTGTAAGTAATATAGTAAAGTAATATAAATAATAAGTAATATAAGTAATAAGTAATAAACAAAATTAACATAATCTGATGATTTTCAATTTTAGGGGAGAAAACTTTGTGTGGCACAAAATAGAACAGTCCTTATTGATTCTACTAAGAGTCTTTTCAATAGAAAATTGTATTTGAGTCCCAAATACCATTGTTATAAGGTATTGAATTATTTATGTCTCTAGTATGAATGGAAGGGTTTGCTGCTATCAAAATACTCTGCTCTTACATTAAAAACAAGCACCAACTAAGCAATTTGCAGTGCTAATCACAGCACCTGCATATTGACTTCTGGACTTATTATTTCTTAATTAACAAAAGACTGAGCACTCCTTGAAGAGGAATTAATGACAACGTCAACACAGCCAACACATAGCAAAATAAACCTGCAATTGTTTTATTCACTAAAGACAGATGTGGATCAATTAAGTCATGTCTTCCTTTCCTTCTTGTGCAAATTGAGCATGATGGTTTTCTGTGAAGACCACAATGCTTACCCTGCTCACTGTGAAGTAAACAGCAGGATTACTGCATGTCTCACCAAATCCCAGCAGACACCAGAGGAACAGAGCAGGTTGTTTGCACAGGATGGTGTGGTTGAGATGACCCTCTGTGAAGATGTGCACCTGTGGAATGGTGAAGGAGCACCATGAGATCTTTTTGATATTTCCAGCATGACCAAGCATACTCCCTAGCAGCTCTTTCCCATCCTGATCCACACCTGCCACATTTGCCTGGTTTAGACAGTAAAACTTGACATTGCTTGGACATTGCACTCTCCTGGCCATGAATTCCTGCATGTGCTTAGTGTGTCCAGTGGCTGGGTAATCACTTGTCTTGGTTAAAAAAAAATTGGGCAATGAAAAGATCTGCCCAGCTCTGTGTGTGTGTTTCTGTGCACAAGCTCAATAAATTAGGAACTATTAAAGACCAACATCTAAACTATGATTTGAGGAGGAACTCATTTCCTTCCTTTGGCATAGTTTTATTTTCTTTATTCTTCTAGTGATCCCAGAAACAGTTTCTGAAGATAACTACTGCTTTTCCCTGAACATGTACATGTGTAGGGGAGGAACTCACAATGAGTTGAATACTCTTTAGACTTTCCTTGAACTGAAAAAAGAAAAATCTGGGCTAATTTTGAGATTTGTATAGCATTTATTTTCAGTTATTCTTTCAGTGTTTTAATGTTTTGAATAAGAAAAATGCAGGAGAGATTTTGCAAAAAGCTCAGTACAAACCCTTTTCTACTGAAATACATACTGTCTTCTGTGAGCTATGTAAGGATGCAAACTTAAAAACCCAACAGCATCTTTTTACAATAAATTAATAATTTTTAAGAAACTTCCATGCATCCAAATGTCATGAAAACAGTTCGAAATTTACATGCATCCAAATGTCATGAAAACAGTTCAGAGCTTTTTATGCAAAATCAAACTAAAACTAATGGTTTTATTAGTTTCCTAGTAACTACCATTTGGAGCTTTAGTAAAGTTCTTTCTTTTTGTATAGCAACAGGAAATGAGTGTTTAGTGAAAGAAAAGTCTGAAAAAGCATTTAAAAATGAATATTAATCTAAGTGGACAACACTCAAAGCCAGTAATAACTTTATTTCTGTTATGTGGGATGCTGTTATGTTTGTATTGCTGGTATTCTTACTGTGTCTTCTTTCATAGCCTTGCTTGTGTCTAAAGCAAAGAAAGCCTTAACCTCAATATTCAGTATCAGCACTGTTGTATCTTGCACCTAATTCACATACAGGATTTCCTAAATTAGCCTTCAGGCCTTATACCACTGAGTCTGAATCTCAGGTAAATGGTTCATAGTAGAGTACACAGTCAATGCAAAGGGCCTGACAGTGCATTTAATGAGTCTAGACTGGTAGGTTATTCTCATACTCTGCTCCAAGCAAATGCAAACATGTGATGCACTAAACCATAGAATAGTCGCCCTGAAACAAAGTCATCCCTGGGATGGAAACACGGAGACGACTGTGTACTCCAGAGCTGAGTTGCAGTGCTCAAGGCCATGCAGCTCAGCTGGTATTTTCTGTGCCTGCTGAGAGGTAACCATGGGATTTGGCATCCAGTGGACTTCTTGAGATGCTGGGTTGAGCCTCTCTCTGAGAGCCTGGAAGCATATTCCCAGGGCTGTGACATCAGACAGGAACAGAAGGCTCCATGGAGCAGCATCAGTCTTTAACGGGGGTGACCATGAGATAACTTCTCTTAGCTACCAACACCATATTATTACAAGTATGTTGACAAAACAATTAGTGTAAAAACTCAGACTAATGGACAGACTCTTTCTGTGCCCTTCAATGCTGCATAACCCTTGGGCAAAAAAAGTCACTTTGCTCCTTATTTGGGTTTCCTGTTAAGTAGTGAAGTAACAGGAAAAGCTGATTTCAAGATCAAATGACTGATGTAACTCTTTCTTGCTCCAGAGGAAAAATGATCCCATCAGACCTTGAAAGAAGAATTCTTGAAGCCAAACAAAAAGTAAGTTTATCAGCTTTTCTTCTTCCAAAGAAGAACAAAACCCCAAGAATGGTACAGCTAGTTGTTTTGCTTTCCTTGGTAAAACAACATTATTTATTTCTCAGAAATGTAGCCTGCCAATTAATGAGGCAAGAGTTTCTGATAAAATAGGTTTAGACCTACTTTATAATCTCCATAAGCTACTATTTGGCTTTCTTTTTATATGCTGTTCTGCATAACATTCTCCTTTTTATATTATAAGCCTATGTTGCAGTTTCTCAGATATTGTCAAAAACAGGGTAATCATTTTGAGGAGTTTATTATAATGCATTGAAAATACTCCTCATAAATTCACCAAATCAGTGGAAGATAAACAAATCCACACATCTCTAAAAATGCATTACTTTTGTATGTGTTCATTAACAGAAGCTAGAATTAAAACATCAAAGTATGCAATGAACTCAGCCCTGTGCCTTTAGCATTTATGTAAATGCTCATTAGACACACAGAAGTCAAAGCTCGTTAATAACACAAATCTTCACTTTTCCAAGAAAAGTAGTATAGTAGATAAAAAATAAGGAAAATGACAATAGTAGTATAGTAGATAAAAAAATAAGGAAAATGACAATAAGGAAAATAGACAATAAATGATGGTTTAAACTCCAGTTCTGAAAAAGTAAAGGTAGCCACTCTTGACTTCTGAGTACTCTTTATGAAATCAAAGAGCTACATGTGAAATTAGAGTGAAACACGGGTAGAAATTTTGGCAGGCCCCAGACATCATAGCACAAAAGTGGTGGATGGTGAGTGCTCTGCTGTGAGGCACAGCAATTAGAAGAGAGAATCTAAGAGATGGTCCCTGGCCTCTGTGGAGGCTGCTGTATTTCCCTTGGAAGAGCTGTGTCCCTGCTCTGCAGGAGGGATGGGGCTGGAGGCAAACCCTGCACCTCCCCTGTCCACTGCCCCAGGACACCCTGCCAGGTGCAATGTTCCCACTGACAGAACTGGGACACCACATGGTCAGACGCTGGCTGGGATAATTGCAATGCAGCCCAGGGCACAGTCCACCAGAAATACTTCTCTCGCTGTGGTGCCTGGGTGAGGTTTGTTTTATGCGACATCCTGCAGCACAGACTTTTTTGTTTCAGGCAGGTGGTGTGGAGCAGAATTATTCTGTTGAGCCCTTTACCTGTCTCGTGCATCCTAATGAGTGGAGGATGCTGGTTTGGAAGTTTGCTGCCACCTTAAGGTAGACACTATAGTATGGCTCGAATCTAAACAGAGCATCAGTGGAACAGAGCAGGGATGTCCTCTGGGCGACACTTGTGGGCTCACTGTGGGGGCAGCACAAGGGCAGCTGGACCTGCTGCAGGCTGAGAGGACTGCAGCAACTCTGATCTTGCCAAATAACCTCGCTGTTTTCTTGTAGGGATTTGTTCCTTTTCTGGTGAGTGCCACAGCTGGGACAACAGTGTATGGAGCATTTGATCCTCTCATAGCTATTGCAGACATCTGCAAGAAATACAAAATCTGGATGCATGTGGATGTAAGTACCATCTTATGTGGAGGGCTGGATTACAAGGTGTATTATAATTCATTTATTCATTTCAGACAGTGTCTTCTTGTAGAAAAACTGTTGTATTTGGTTCCTGTAATTAAGTCTAACATCCAAGCACTGACTTCCCACTCCTTCAAAAGCCTCAGGTCAGGGGGGCATTTTAGGAGCTGTGACTGTAGTTGTACTTCTAGCAGCTGGGACGCATAAGCTGACCTAGTTTGAGTGCTTTTGGCTTTCAGCTTTATCTCTAAATGCCATTAGTAAAGAAATACATGAGAACCATACTGAGCACTGGCTCAGCTTCTGCACCAGCTGCAGAATAAATACATAAGAAAACACTACATTTGTCTGGAATAAAGTACTGCAAGTTGCTGATTGAGTTAATGCAAATGCTAGTGAAATTATCAGATTGGCCACTTAGCTTTATCCAGGCTCTTGCCAAGAAATCTTCCTGGAAGTATCATCTTTCAGCCCTAGAATGGCTTCTGTGTCATTTTTGTAAGTCATTTCTCCAAAAGGGCTTGGTAACTGACTTTCCATAGGGATGGGTATCTTGATTTTGGGTTACTGTGTCAGCCAAAATCAGTCCAATTGAAAGGAAGAATTTGTATTTACCTTAAATACTTCTCAGTCGTGTGAAACACCTGCTTGTCCCAGATCTCTGTGAGGAAAGCAAATGAGGGCAAGCAGTAGTGATCTGAAATATGATGAAAACTCCCCAGAGCAGCTGAGATTCCAGCCTGTTTGTTATCATCTCTTAGTCACTAAAAGACAAAAGGCAGCTTACCCAGGAGCAGCTCTGCCAGTCATTAATTCCAGCATGGGGCAGCCCAATGTGTCAGAAGAGGGGGCAAGGGAGGGGTTAGCAGATGATGAGGTTGCATGCCTAGATTATGGGCTATTAACTGCTGCTTCCAGGCCACTGGAAGCAAATTGTTAGCACAGCTAATGCCTCAGGCCTCATCTGCGTGGTCATTTTGGAATGTGCCATATCAGCAAAGAAAAAGAAAGGGTCCCAAACTGGTGTGAACACACAGATGTCATCACGGAGAAAAGCAGAGTTTTACTAAGGGTAATGTGTCTTGCCTTCCAGGGAGCATGGGGTGGTGGGCTCCTGATGTCAAGAAAACACAAATGGAAGTTAAATGGCGTTGAAAGGTATGATTTATTAATTAATAAACCACATTTATTCAATGCATTTTAACACACTTGTGATTGCCATAGCAATGCCTGTAAATAGAATTCAAGATCAGTGTTACCTCCAAGATACAGTAGGAAGAAATAATGCAGACTATCCTTGCAGCATTGAAGCAGCATTACAAAGTGCTACAGTAGTGTGGCACTTTGTCTTGTAGTACAAACAGCAGACATTTCATGTTTGTTTTTCTGTTCCTTTCACCATACATTCACAGGCCCAGAGTGGTTTCTCTAGTATTCTCTGATTCAGCAGCCAGCCTGATTTAGCAATTGGATTTCTCTAGGAAATGAATCTTGGAGGTCTTGTACACTGAAGTCTTAAGTATAAAAGGTGAATGCACCTGCAGTTTGGACAGATGTCCTGCTTTGTCACTTCTGGAGAGAATAACCCTCTCCAGGCTGACATCTTGGTAAATCTATGCCTGGATATGTACACAGTTGTAGTTGTGAGCTCATAAACATTGCAGATACACACAGATGAACATAAGTGATGCCAGACCAAGCTGGAAGGACTGAGCTTAAACTTAAAACCAGCTGCTTACTGAGAAACTTCTAGTTAAGGTGTGGAAATCCTTTCCATAAAATGTTCAGATTTACCTGCATTCAAGAAAGACAAAAATCATTCAGGAATTCTGTGAGCCACAAATGAGTGGGAGCTCAGAGTGTATTTAGAGAAAGTTCATATATGCCTGCCCTGTTTAATATTCTTCCCAGGCACCTATTTAGACCACTTTCTAGGGACAACATGCTGGGCTAGATGGAGTCAGCCTTGCATTTGTGTATTTCCTGAAGCTCTTGTTACTTGAGAGTAAATCATTACTCCCTTCTACCATTTTTATCTCTAAATCAAATTGCTCTTCCTTGACAATTAAAATTACAAACAACTTCCTCATCCTGTTCCTGAAGATTAGGATACCTTGATGATTCAGTTCCTTTCTCATACATCTCACACGCGAAATTTGGAAAGCAGCCAGTGGTTCTATGAATTTGATTTAGTTAAGAATGCCTACAGCACTCCAACCTTACATGTCATGCATTAAAAGGACATATATCCAAATATCCAGCAAGTTAAAAAAATCTACCTAATTGCCTGTGAGGGCAGAGCATTAAACAAATTGTTGTCCAAACTGTGCTGGAATGAGTAGTTCAGGATAAGTCTATACTGGAGAATTTTCCAAATAATATGCTTTAGATCCAGAACTCCACTAGATTTTATTTAGTGCTTTGATAAGCACAATCTCCATATGTTTGGCAATGAATTAATGAAATTTGTTATTTCCAGTGCTGTTCCTCTGCTTGGTGGACATGATGGCTCACTTCTTTTTGTCCAGATCTCAGGTGTGGGAACTTTTAGAGCAGACTGAATTTCTGTGGATATTTCTGTTTCATGGTAGATAATTGAGGCATTACAGGTCTGAATAGAAGAGAACAGAAGCTGGTACTCCTGTTTGATAGGCAAGAAAGCCACAAGGAGGAAGCATTAAGTGGAGCATACTGTGCTCTGAGTACTCACATCCTTCTGGTGACAGGCAGTCCAGCAGAAATACTCCTATCACAGGCAGGAGGAGTTGCAGGACTATCCTTACTGTGACATGCAGTCCCCACATAACAGATTTCAAGCTGCTCGAAGGCACCCTGAAGGAAAGATGTGTCCTGGTGTTTGGAGCAGATAGGTCTCGCCACCATCAGGAGTTTCAGCCTGGTGTCCCTCTCCTGGAGGCTCAGGCAAGGGGGGACAGCTCCCTGCAAAAAGCATGTTTGCAGGGAATGAGTGGTCTCATATAGGGTCTGGGCTGTGGCTGTCAGTGAGTGCACCTCTATCTGTATTTAATGATGGCTGAGGACCAAATTCTGACAGTCATGAATCTCTTCTGTCATCCATTTGAAATCTCTAAAGGAAAAATACTCCTTTATTTTGCTATCTTTGACCCATAGCCAGAAAGGTGCTTGGTGCTCAGTTACTTGAGCAAACATAAGATGCTTTTAAAAAACATCTGTGGGTTCATGCAGACTTTATTACTTCATTGTTTGTCTCAGTCAGCAATTCTTCAAGTACATACTGATGACCAAAGTCCAAAATAACTGATAACAAATGAAAAATAATTATTTTTTCTTTGTGCAGTTGAGATGTAATTGGGAAAATAAATCACCTTAGAGTAAATTAAATGTTTTAGACAGATAATTCACATCTGGCTGTTGTCAGTAAATAATCCTTTTACTTGAGAAAACCCATACCACTATTATTACCTAAAGGTCTCTTAAAGAATTTCTGCCTGATTTTGCATAGGCACAAATAGAAATTAAAAAGTATCATATCAAGGGAAATTCATAGACCTAAATGCATGTTCAGAGCCATTAGCTTTGGTGTCGTAATCACATGACTGACTGAGCTGATTAAAAGCTGCCAAATACTCAAAAAGCCAAGCCAAGCAGCCAGATGTTGCCTGTGGAAGGCTGTTCCCTACAGATTTTGCATCAGGCACTTGCACAGTCCCATTTAAATAGGAAAGAAGAAAGCACAGAAGTGCTGCCTGATGTCTATGTGAGTTTTGAAGTTGCTTGCTTTGAAGGAGTGGAAGCAATTTGGCAGGACATGCATAAAACCTATAGCACTATCTCCAAGTTCTACAAAGGAAAACACTCCTAGCTTCTAACATGCTTACCTCTGTTTACATCAGTGTTACCTGAAAGTGTGTCCTGGGTCAAGTTTTCACATGTTTCAGTTGAGTAATTTGTGCCAATTTATACCATAAAACACAAATAGGTGCACTAGATGAAATCATGTGTGCTATGCATGCTTGATAGCCTGTCAGATAGCATGCAGATACACACATTTATCAGCTAATCATCTCATGTGATTATAAAATAGCCAGTCAAGCATAACAGAAAATAATAAACAACTGGGCAGTCTTCCATTCAGCCCTCACCACAGTCCCATATACCTCTTCTCTGGGCTGTATTGTGTCAGCACCCTGTTTATTCACAACATCTGGGCTGACAGCAATTTTTCCAATGAATGTGTCCTGAAGGGAGGCAGGATCAGACTCTTTTGTGGCAAGATGGATCAGTCCTGTGCTTATCACTGTGGCTCTGTGAATTACCATAGCCAAGATAAAATTAAGGATCTATGAAAATTTGCCAGCATCAGATCAACAAGAAAAATGACTTGGGTTTCCCAGGTTACTCAGAGACATAGTGATACCCAAAAGTATTTAAAGAAAATTTTTAAAAATGCTTGGATTAGCTCCTTACTAAAATCTTGCTGAAACTGGAATCAGAGTGAGGGAATCTACTAGTTTGCCAGCTTCCTATCTACATCTTTAATCAGCTGTGTGATTTTAGAAAGTTCATCAGTCAAGTGGGTGTTTTTAGGAAGTTTGCCCTATGTTTATAAAGTATAGATGACTCCCCAGAAAGTTTAATACTGGTTAGGTTTAGCAGATAGAGCAATTACCCTGTGGTAAATTGCCAGGATTGTCATCCAGAAAATAGCTGGAGTGGATTAGGTCCCCTGTGAAGGCTTTGCTTTCCTAGTATCAGCCACGATTAGTTTCAGGTTTGCTTGCTCAGAAAAAGGTGCATGTTGCTGCATGTTCATTATTATTCTCATTATTTCTAAATGCCTCCGTGGTTTCATCACACAGAACAGTGTCTAAGTTTCATGTGGTTTGCTGCCCTAGGGCTAACTCAGTGACCTGGAACCCTCACAAGATGATGGGTGTCCCACTGCAGTGTTCAGCCCTGCTAGTAAGAGAAGAGGTATGTCACAATATGTGTGTTTCTCTGATCCTTGTTGGCATTTTGCTTCTGAAAATCCTGGATATTTTCTTCATAACTGTGTCATAGCTAATATTTGCTAATGTGATGAGGATTATAAAAGAAACTGAGAAATAGACCTCTAGCTACATGCTCAGGCTGTGAATGCAAAAGGAATTAAAGTAGCTGTCTAGCAGAAATGATAGAGCCAATCAATGGCAATATACTTACAGATTCTTGTGACTTTCCATTCAAAATGTTCGTAGTTAAGTTGTGCATAGCTGTGTAATTCCACTAGCTGCTGTGTAGCACAAAATATAACTGTAGGCAAACTCTAGTCCAGAGTATGATACACATGCAGGACAACATTTGGTCTAGAATGGAGGCATCATTTCACTTTCTAGACTTTTATGATATTCCTACCCAGCTCTGATCTATGTATCCACTTTGGGGCACATGAAAGTAAAAATGGAACACTAAGTTCACTTGGAATAAAAAGTAGATGTTTCATTTAGTACTAGAATTTGAATTACCCTTCAAGCCTGTAATTTTCATATAACCATCAGTTAGTGGGACAGCTGCTATAAAACCACCACTTAATAGACTAGCTATCAAAAAGCTGGTTGCTGTTTTGCTAACAGCTGTACAACAGATTGTATACAAAGTGATTGCACTTAGGAAAAGAGAAGCTGGCTTTTATTTGCCCTCTGGGTCAGTTCCCTGAGACAAATCCTGCCCAGCTGAAGTCAGTACCATCCTTGATCTCTTGTGAGAGCAGATGGCTCAGATTAGGAGAAAGTCAATTTTTTTCCCCCCTCTCATTTTACTATCTCAGTTTTGAGTTACATGTAAAGATTACACTTGATGATAAACAGCCATGTTTTGATTCTTCTAGGACTGGAAATTGCCCTTTTAGGCAACAACCCTAAGGTATACTATAAACTTGGTTGAGGTCTTAACTATAGCCAGAACATGGCTCTCTGTGTTGCACTTAAAAAGCTAAAAAGGAAACCTCATGCTTTCATGAGCCAGGTTTCCTCACCTTGTTGGCTTCTGTCCCTCCCAGAAAGCTGCCTCTCAGAATGGTATGTTGCAACCTAGAAATAACTCTAGCTGGATTTTTAAAGGCCATATGCTCTTTTGTCTGTTCAAAGCTTTCTATACCACTTAAGCATCCAATCTGCAGCTGAGGGCTTTGCAGAAAAGAACTGTTCCTACAAAGAAAGAAAACAATGAAAATCTGAACTTTAGAGACGAAAGCCATTGAAAAGTGCTGTGATAATTGTCTTGGTCTGACTCAACCAGAAAAGATGCCTTCCAAGGAAAGGTGGAAGAGGAACCAGAACAAAGAATAAAAGGAAGCACAGGGTCTAGGAGTGGATTGCATATTGCTGGATCAGGGACCAAGGTGTCTTGGGCACAGAAAGGCATGTGAAAAACTTAGTCCATTGAGAAGCTAAGTCTAGTTTTGTCCCTTTTTTTGATCTTCCTTTTGCACTTGGACACATACTATCCACTGAATTTGAGTATTTGTAATTTCTCACCAAAAGCAGCCCTCAAAACTGTAGTCACATCTGTGCTGACATCACTTTGCTTGTGTGTTTGTTTCCCTAAGGGATTGATGCAGAGTTGCAATCAAATGCATGCTTCCTACCTCTTCCAACAAGACAAACACTACGACCTGTCTTACGACACGGGAGATAAGGCTTTGCAATGTGGTCGGCACGTTGATGTCTTCAAGCTATGGCTGATGTGGAGGGCAAAGGTAGGACTGCCTGCAATAGATTTGTTTGCATTAAACTAATGCACACCAGACACAGGTGGTTTTTTTTCTGTAATCATAATTGTAGAAAATATATGACCTGAATTTCACATATATAACATGAAAGAAAGAACATTATTATTTTCTGGGGTTTTTTATACTTTTAACAATTGAGCTTCAAAGCAGCACTTGAACTCTATGGCTTTGTGTAGCATTTGCTTTGTGTAACTGTAGGAGTCTAACTGTATAAATCATATACCTAGGAATGTTGTTACAAAGATTTCTGGAAATAGAAATATCTTTTAATGACATTCAGAAATTAAACATAACAAATCAAGACTGGAAGACCTAGTTTCATTGCATGCAGTAGATATGAAGTCATCTTTTGAAGTAGAGGAAAACTCATCAAAAACTCTTCACTGGGAAATCTATAAACACCAGGTCCAATGATTAATTCCTCTGTACTTGTAGAATATTGCTAAATAAGTTCTTATATTTATTTATCCGATCTGTTATGTCAGGTTGCCTCAGGTTTGTTCAGAGGAGATGACATCACTGTTTTCATTTCCAGAAAGCCTTAAAGATCCTCATGTGCATCATTAAAACTCTGAAAACAGTTCCAAGACAGACATTGAATGTAGCTGGAGGCGTGGGAGTCTGGGGGGGAGGATGCAAGTTTCTGTGGCCTCAGGAGCTGCTGTGCTAACTGGGGTCTGCAGAATGGCAGGTGTCTTTGGCCACACTCTTTTACTCCAAGCCTTTCACCCGGGGCTGTGCTAGCTCTGCCCAGTTTTGAAACCTCTATACACAGACAGATAGTGACATGGGCTTTTAAGTCAGTTCTGCACTGCCAGAACAGATTTAGCAGGGACATGCATCCATTACTCAAAGACATTTCTTCTAAAGCCTATTTTTTCAATCTGCCTTGTACTGCTTTTTCTCTTCTCACACCCTGCTTGTAATACTAACGTTGCAAAATAGGATGTGCGTTTCTTAAACAATTTATCTATTCCAGCTGTTTATTCCACACTTCCTCCCTCTTGAAGCTGAATCCTTTGTTTGAGGCATCACAGTTGGTGATTGCAGGAACGATTATGATGTCACAGAGAGGACTATGGCTTCTGCCAGAGAAGAAAAAGCAAGATTTTCTGCAGCTCTTAAAAACACAGCTTCTGAGTTTATATGGTGTCTGTTAGAAGAGAAGAGAGAAAAACACTACAGCGGCAGGGCAGTATCTGAACAAAGTGTGCGTTCTCACAGGCATCAGACCAGGCTCTAAAAGTGTGTATGCTCATTCCATGCTTAATGAAAAAAAGAAAAACTATTCTTGGAAAAGCCCCAAGCACACTACTCCTGTAAGATTAAAATCCTCTATTCTGAAAATAGCAGGAGGCTCCCCATGTTTGGAACTCAACACCTGCTAAAGATTCTGCTCTGTGCCAGTCCAAGCTGTCTGAAACCATCCACAACCTCTCTGCAAAACTTACCAAGGGAACCCTTTGTCAGAGGTGTTATTCAGGTTCTCAGGAAAGTATTTCTGAGAACCAACCAAGTACCTAATGCTTTTATTGCAGAAGTGGCTATAGGGGAGTCAGTATCAAGAACTAGACCCAAATGAGTTCCGCTTAGCAAAGTGCCCTTCATCACACAGAATCAGATCCTGTGCTGGTTTCGGCTGGGATGGAATTAATTTCTTCTCAGTAGCTGGTACAGTGCTGTGTTTTGGATTCACAATGAGAACCATGTTGATAAGACACTGATTTCATTTCTGGTTGGTTGTGTTTATCTTAAATCAAGGACCTTTCTTTGTTATGTCTCATGCTCTGCCAGTGAGAAAGTACATAAAAGAAACTAGGAGGGGGCATAGTCAGGACAGGTGACCTGAACTAGCCAAAGGGATATTCCACACCATAGAATGTCATGCCCAGTATATAAACTGGGGTGGGGGGAAATTACCCGGAGGGCAGGCTGATCTGGGTTCAGGAACAGGGTGTGGGGTCAGTCTGCAAGTGGTGAGCAATTGTATTGTGCATCACTTGTTTTGTTGGTTTTTGGTTTTTTTTTTCTTTTTTATTATCCATTAGTATTTTATCTCATTTTGTTCTCAATTATTAAACTATTCTTATCTCAACCTATATATTTTACTTTTGTTTCTCCTTCCCATTCCACCAGACCAGGGGGAAGGGTGGGAGAGGGAGTATGAGTTGGCTGTGTGGTTCTTGGCTGCTGGCTGGGGTTAAACCACGACAGATCCTTAATGGGTCTCACAGAGGCTTCTGAGAGGTGACTTGTGCTGATGTGTTGACAAGTGCTGCATGGTCCTTTCACTATTTTGATTCACAAAACAAGTACTTACTTAACTTCTTCATCTCTCTCTAAAGGGAACCACAGGATTTGAAGCACAAATTGATAAGTGTTTGGAACTTGCAGAATACCTGTACAATAAAATAAAGAACAGAGAAGGGTATGAAATGGTGTTTGATGGAAAGGTACGTATTGTAACTTCTTTTTCCCAGTTGGTCAGCAGCATGTGCCTCTGTTACCTATTGGGATGCTACCAACAGGTCAAATGAAACAGCAAGAGACAGAAATCGAGGACCCTTGTAACAAAGCCTGTTGTTGTCCCAATACCACTCTTCCTAATGGGATCCAGGGACAAGGGAGATGAGGCAGCTGTGCATAAGTTTTCAGTTTGCTCAGTTTAACCCTGCTGAAACTAAGCACTGGTGTCTCAGCCTAACACAACACACACAGAACCAGCTCTTATGTAATGAAAACAAGTTGCAGTTTCCTAATAGCAGGGTCTGTTAGGAGTGGGGGTTATAGTGCCCCACACAGCTCTGAAGGGACAGTTGTTCACAGTATTTTTATCAGCATTTTCTGGTGGGCAGTTGCAGAGGAACTGGGTTAACCTGGAGGAACTGTCTGCACTACAGTCTTTGCTGTGATGTGTTGCTTGGGAGTCCACATCACATCATTGGTTTATGGGGCAGAGGCAGCATCACCATGTGGGGTACAAAATATCTGTAGGCATGTTATTTCTGTGGAGGGAGTCCATCTGAGATGGGACCCCTGGATGCCAGGTGCTCAGCTGGAGCACAGTGCCCAGGGCAAGGCAGTGCAGCCTGGGTTGGGTGGCTGTACTGGCACTAGGTTGTCTGATTTTTGGCCATGGCTTTGTGGGCAACCCTCTCCAGCTGTGGTGGCTGGGGACAGGCCTGTTAGAGACCTCTGTTACAAAGTTAATTGGTGTTTTGCCTGTAAAAGAGAACAAGGTCCAGAGAAGAGCAACGAGGCTGGTGAAAGGACTGGAGCACAAGTGCCATGAGGAGAGGCTGAGGGAGCTGGGGGTGTTCAGCCTGGAGAAGAGGAGGCTCAGGGGAGACCTTCTCACCCTCTGCAACTCCCTGACAGGAGGTTGGAGTCAGGTGGGGGTTGGTCTCTTCTCCCAGGCAACCAGCAGCAGGACAAGAGGGCACAGACTCAAGCTCTGCCAGGGGAGGGTTAGGTTGGATCTTAGGAAGAGATTTTTTACAGAGAGAGTAGTCAGGCATTGGAATGTGCTGCCCAGGGAGGTGGTGGATTCACCATCCCTGGAGGGTTTCAAGATGAGACTGGATGTGGCACTTAGTGCCATGGCCTAGTAACCACGGTAGGGTTGGATTTGATGATCTTGGAGATCTCTCCTAACCTGGTTGCTTCTATGATTCTGTGATTCAGACATCACGGGCTCATACCCACATGTCACTATGGAATTTATTTCCCCCACCTCACACATCGTAACTGAATTTGGTCTACTGGGCCTGATGATAAGTAAAGGAACTGCAAGCAGTAGAAGTTGCTGCATCTCAGACATTTGACATCCAGCAAAAAAGAACATAGCAAGTAATGCAGTTGTTGGGAGATTGCAGAAATACACAAAATGTCAACTTGTTCTTACTTTATGCCTTTTCTGCTTGATGCTCCCATAGATGTTAAACTAGCTAAGATGCTGTGCTGCCTGCATATTAATGCAGCAGCTAGCTGAACCACCTGTGGCTCCTGTTTACAGAATCAGATTCTATATTATTCTGTCATGTAATAAAAGTAAATGACATGGTCCTCACCTCTAAATTATCTGTAATGGACTCTTGCCTTAGCCACACAATCCCTTCAGTCCCTGGAGGGGATAGGATCTGCTAAATCTAGATGCTTCTCAGAAAGGCATAAATATATTTGCCCAGCTGGATGATGTGTTTCTGCATCTGACACCCTGGAAATAAATTGCTTTAAATTATCTTTTCTGCATTAATAATGATGATGACTCTCAGTGGACCACAATAATGAAAACCATTGACTGCTGTCATGGCATGATGTATGAGAGGGAGGGAAGGCATGAACTTAGTCGCAATTGAGATATTATGAGCATTTCTTACAGTGTAAACCATTATTATTCTGTGTTTAGCCTCAGCACACAAATGTCTGCTTCTGGTATATACCTCCCAGCTTGCGTGGTATGGAAAACAATGAAGAAAGAACGACCCGCCTGATGAAGGTAAGCAGTGTCCTCTGGGGTATCATGCTGCAAACAACGAAGCCCTTGCAGGCAGGCAATCCCCAAAATGATCTCACAGGGCACAAGGCAAGGTCACCTTGTGCAGCTCTGGCAAATGACACCTCCATGGTTGTTTTGCTGAAGGTTCACCTGGCACCACCTTGCTGTGGTCCCCAAGTATGTTATCTCTGGGTTTTTCTAATCTCTGTATTTGCTCCGTGTGTACTTACTGAAGTCTCTAAACCCAGCAGTACAGGAAGAGCTCAGTAATACCACAGCACTCTGGCATGTGAAAGGAAGATGGTAAATGATTGTACCCATGTTTTGAATGCTACAAAAACCAGCTACTGTGTTCCTGTCAACAATATTGAGAAAGTAGCAGGGACAGATTTATGCAGTGATTTCAAGAGCAGGACAAAGAAACCCAATGTCTTTTCAATGAGGCATTTATTCCTTAACATGGGTTAATGTTTTTGTCAATATTGGAAGTAATTTCAATTGCTTCTTGTAGCTCTTCACCTTTTGTACCTACGGAAAACATACTCTGTTTTAACAATAATGAGGATGATTGTATTAATGAGAATAATTATAATAATTTCAATCATCATCATCATAATCAGCAGCAGCATCATTCCCTGCCTTTTGGTTATTCTGCAGGTGGCACCAGTGATAAAAGCCAGGATGATGGAGTATGGCACAACCATGGTGAGCTATCAGCCCCTGGGAGACAAAGTAAACTTCTTCCGGATGGTCATCTCAAACCCTGCGGCAACTCACCAAGACATTGATTTCCTGATCGATGAAATAGAACGTCTGGGACAAGATTTATAATAACTGGGTGTGAAAATCTGTTCCTGGACCTCTAAGTAGACACTTAAGTTGTCACAAACTGTGCGAATGTATTTGTAGTTTGTTCCAAAGTAAATCTATTTCTATATTGTGGCGTTGGAGTAGAGTACAGTTTAAAATCAAGCAACATGGCTCCTTTGAAGTCCTTTCCTGAGTTTTAGAATGCCTCCTTAATAATTCACTGCACAAAAAGCTGCATTGAAACAAAGAAGGAAGAACGGAAGATACTTAAAATTTTATCCCCAATTTTAACACAGTGATTAAATTAAAATCAGTCAGACTGAACAGTGCCAAATTTGCCCAAAATTATGACAAAAATCAAATTGGTGGAAGTGGGAAGGGGTGGTGAGATGCAGAGAATACATGCTGTATGCTTAAAAGTGAAAGGATTTTGCCTTTCTCGTAGTATTAGAACAGAATTTCTAAATAACCTATAGCAACATTTCAAATGTACTTAAATAGGTGTAGTTTTACAAAAGGAAA